TAGATATAGGGTCATTCAAGTTATTATCTATTTTTTTCTTTTATAGTTTGTGTTTTCCAAAAATTATTTCATCTAAGTTGCCAAATTTATTGACATAAGGTTTCCATAATACTCCTTTATTATCATTAATATCTTTATGGTCTATGATGATACAACTCTCATTCCTGATACTGAAAATTTTTGTCATTTTTTTCTTTTTTTTTCTAATCAGGCCAAAAGTTTATTATTTTGTTGACATTATAAAAGAAACAAATTTTGGTTATATTGAGTTTTGCTATTTTCTATATCATTGATTAGTACTCTCATTTTTTTCTAACTACTTTGTATTTAATTTATATTCTATTTCCACTTTCTTTTTTTTTTATTGGAGTTCAATTTGCCAACATATAGCATAACACCCAGTGCTCATCCCACCAAGTGCCCCCCTCAGTGCCCATCACCCAGTCACCCCAAACCCCCCCCCCACCTTCCCTTCTATTACCCCTTGTTCATTTTCCAGAGTTAGGTGTCTTTCATGTTTTGTCACCCTCACTGATATTTTCACTCATTTTCTCTCCTTTCTTTTATTCTCTTTCGCTAATTTTTATATTCCCCAAATGAATGAAACCATATAATGTTTGTCCTTCTCCGATTGAATTACTTCACTCAGCATAATCCCCTCCAGGTCCCTCCAGGTCAAAGCAAATGGTGGGTATTTGTCGTTTCTAATGGCTGAGGAATATTCCATTGTATACATAAACCACATCTTCTTTATTCATTCATCTGCTGATGGACACCGAGGCTCCTTTCACAGTTTGGCTATTGTGGACATTGCTGCTAGAAACATCGGGGTGCAGGTGTTCTGCCGTTTCACTGCATCTGTATCTTTGGGGTAAATCCCAGCAGTGCAATTGCTGGGTTGTAGGGCAGGTCTATTTTTAACTCTTTGAGGAACCTCCACACAGTTTTCCAGAGTGGCTGCACCAGTTCACATTCCCACCAACAGTGCAAGAGGGTTCCCCTTTCTCCACATCCTCTCCAACATTTTTTTTTTAAGATTTTATTTATTTATTCATGAGAGATACAGAGAGAGAGGCAGAGACACAGGCAGAGGGAGAAGCAGGCTCCATGCAGGGAGCCCGACAGGGGACTGGATCCCTGGATAACACCCTGAGCTGAAGGCAGACACTCAACCGCTGAGCCACCCAGGCGCCCCATCCTCTCCAACATTTGTTGTTTCTTGTCTTGTTAATTTTCCCGATTCTCACTGGTGTGAGGTGGTATCTCATTGTGGTTTTGATTTGTATTTCCCTGATGACCAGTGATGCGGAGCGTTTTCTCATGTGCTTGTTGGCCATGTCTATCTATGTCTTCTCTGTGAAATTTCTCTTCATGTATTTTGCCCATTTCATGATTGGATTGTTTGTTTCTTTGCTGTTGAGTTTAATAAGTTCTTTATAGATCTGGGGTACTAACCCTTTATCTGATATGTCATTTGCAAATATCTTCTCCCATTCTGTAGATTGTGTTGTAGTTTTGTTGACTATTTCTTTTGCTGTGCAGAAGCTTCTTATTATGATGAAATCCCACTAATTCATTTTTGCTTTTGTTTCCCTTGCCTTCATGGGTGTATCTTGCAAGAAGTTACCGTGGCCGAGTTCAAAAAGGGTGTTGAATGTGTTCTCCTCTAGGATTTTGATGGAATCTTGTCTCACATTTAGATCTTTCATCCATTTTGAGTTTATCTTTTGTATGGTGCAAGAGAGTGGTCTAGTTTCATTCTTCTGCATGTGGATGTCCAATTTTCCCAGCACCATTTATTGAAGAGACTGTCTTTCTTCCAGTGGATAGTCTTTCCTGCTTTGTCGAATATTAGTTGACCATAAAGTTCAGGGCCCACTTCTGGGTTCTCTATTCTGTTCCATTGATCTATGTGTTTTTGTGCCAGTACCACACTGTCTTGATGACCACAGCTTTGTAGTACAACCTGAAATCTGGCACTGTGATGCCCCCAGCTCTGGTTTTCTTCTTTAATATTCCCCTGGCTATTCAGGGTCTTTTCTGATTCCACACAAATCTTTTTTTTTTTTTTTTGATTCCACACAAATCTTAAGATGCTTTGTTCCAACTCTCTGAAGAAAGTCCATGGTATTTTGATAGGGATTGCATTCAATGTGTAAATTTCCCTGGGTAACATTGACATTTTCACAATATTAATTTTTCCAATCCATGCTATTTCCACTTTCTTAAGATAAAAGCTGAGATTATTAATTTTAAACCTTTTCTTTCTTCTAATATAGGTTTTTAGTCCTATAAATTTCTCCCTAAATATTGCTTTAATAATCTCTCATAAAATTTGATATATTGAGTTTTTATGTTCATTGTGTTCCAAATATTTTGTTTTCCTTATTTATCTCTTTAACTCAGGGATTATTTAAAAGTTTGTTATTTAATTTCCAAATATTTGGAGATTTTCTAGAAATATTTTTTTTAATTTAAATTCAAGTAACATATAGTGTATTATTAGTTTCAGAGGTAGAGTTCAGTGATTCATCAGCTGTATATAACACGCAGTGCTTATTACATCATGTACCCTCCTTAATGTCCATCATCAGGTTACCCCATCCCTTCACCCTCCTCCCCTCCAGCAACCTGTTTGTTTCCTATGATTAAGAGACTCTTATAGTTTGTCTCCCTGACTGAATACATCTTGCTTTATTTTTCCTTCCCTTCATCCATGCTCCTCTGTTTTATTCCTCAAATTCCACATACGAGTGAAATCATATAATTGTCTTCCTCTAATTGACTTATTGAATTTAGCATAATACCCACTTGTTCCAGCCACGTCATTGCAAATGGCAAGATTTTATTTTTTGAAGGCTGAGTAATATGCTATCTGAACACACTGGAATTATAAATCAATTAAAAAATGATTTCTAAGTGATTTATAATTCCAATGTATTTAGACAGCATATTTGTATAAAATTCTCTTAAATTCATTAAGCCTTGGTTAATGGCCTGAGTAAGGTCTATTTTGGTAAATGTTTCATATGAACTTGAACAGAATATATATTCTATTGTTGAGTAGTATGTTCTATGAATGTTAATCTAGTTGTATGATAGTATTGTTCAAATCTTCTTTAACTTACTATATACCTACTTGGTCTAGCAAACATTGAAATGATGAAAGATTTTGCTTTCTGTATTTGAAGTTCTGCAATTAGTATATATATTTAAGATTGTTATGTCTTCTTTATAAATTGACCCCTCTATCATTGCAAATGATCTTTTTACTGGTAATGTTACTTGCTCTGAAATTTACTTTCTGATATTAATATAGCCACTCTTTCTTTTGATTATTATTAACATGGTATTTTTTAAATCCTGTTTCTTTTTAACTATTTTCTCTTTATCTCTAAAATGTGTTTCTTAAAGGCAGTATGTATTTGAGTCTCTTTTATCTAATATGATCTTTCTTTTTAATTGAGTTCATTAGACTACTTATATTAATATGCTTATTGGTATGGTTAGGTTTAAATATATTTTCCTGCTATTGTTTTCTATTTTCTTATCTATTTTTCACCTTTTTCATCCCTTTTCTTCCTTCTTTTGGATCAAATGAATATTTTTATAGTTCTAGCTTATGTGCTTAATTTGCTTATCAATTATGACTTTTTGTTGCATTATTTTAGGATATAGAATATACATCTTTAATTATCAGTATAACTTCAAATGATATTGTACCATTCCCATATAGTATGTGAATCTTACAATATTACACTGCCATTTTTCCACTTCCAACTTTGTTGCTATTTTTGGTTTCTTTTACATACATATGCTTAAAATCTATATTACAGTATTATTTTTGTTTGAGCAGTTGATTCTTCTTTTTGTTTGAAAATAATATTTACTGTAGTATTCCACAGGCCTTTCCCCCCAACATATTAAGGCAATTAAATAAAAAGGTAAGGCATAAGAAATATAGTTGATATCATAAGATACTTCTTTGTGTGTCAACATAAAACATATACCCAAATTTCAAGTACTGCCTCTTTAAGAAAAAGTTTTTCCTGGTAAATAACATGCATTTCACTGCTCCAAATTACATACAAATGTTTATCCTAAAATATGTATGTAGCTAATGGTGCACTTAAGACTACCCTTCTTATACACTTACTTTATCAGTGGGTTACTCTATATGAAGCATGTAAGAATATATGTTACACATGCCAAATAAAGTAAGTAAAGTGGAAAGATTTTTTAAAAAGGAAAAGTCCTTCTACATATAAGAACTACACAGAAAGTCAGTGTAATTACTGAGATCATGTAAAATGTCTGAAGAATTTTAATTTGGCAAATAATTTCCAGGACAATATCTAAGCCATGAGAATACTAAGTTCCTATTTTAAGAATCTATGTTTCCATTCAACATTCAGCAAGATACTATGGTCTCCCTAATATATACAAAGGAGGATTTGGCAGGGCTACTAAAAACAACAATAACAGCAATTCTCTCAGTTTTAGCAAGCTAGTTATACCTATTAACCAAGTATGTGTACCACAGAGAACTAAATCTTGGTCCATAAGTGCTAGAAAATATTTGATGAAAGACTTTACAGACAAAATCTGAATATACAATATTTTAGAGGGCATGCAGCAGGATTTTATGACAACTGAGGGGGTTAGCCCCCAGAGTACCTGGCCCACCCAGCCTGTTAAAAACACAGCACAGTTTCTAGTGTTTTTTTTTTTTTTTTACTATAATTTATTTATTTCAAGCCACAGGTCTACCTTTGGGGTTCCCATAAGTCATGCAGCAAGTGGTTTATAAATAAAATCAATCTATGATAGTGCCATCATGTTAAGAGACAGACTTGCTAGATTCTTTATGTAGAAAGCTCACATGTTGGGAATCCATGCTTGGTATTATTATGATATACCTGAAATATATCTTGCTCCAATTAACATTATCAGGCTACTCACTATAAAAAAGCCCAAGGGCAGACAAGAGAAGATAGTAGGATCACCACTTTCAGGATACTGAGTTGTAACCCAACCCATCGACTTCCTCACAGCTTTCTTCCATGTAGAATAACGAATTTCACTTTCTCTGGCCTTGATCTGTGGCTCAAACGTGTTCCATAATGACGACTGACAAATCCTCAGGTTTAAGACTCCAAACGCCCACCCCTTCTGCAGCTCCTGCTGCCGTGGCAGCTCCCAGTGCAGTTGTTTCAGGCATAGAGGGCTTTATTACTGGAAGATGCAGAATGTCTGCTTGTAGTTGCATAAGAATTCTGTTGTTGGTCATTGCTCCATCTACCTGCAAATGACTGAGGGGAATTCCACAGTCATAGTTAATGGCATCCAAAATCTCTCGGGTTTGGAAACAAACAGATTCTAATGCAGCAAAAGCAATATGATTTTTACTGGTAAACTGAGTGAGACCACAGATTATTCCTCTTGCACTGGTCTCCCAATAAGGTGCATATAAGCCTGAAAAAGCTGGGACAAAGTAGCAGCCGTAAGAAGTACCTACATCTTTAGCAAGTGTTTCAATTTCCTCTGAGGTGTTTATAATTCCAAGATTGTCTCTTAACCAGCAAATAACAGCACCAGCTATACCAACAGAACCTTCCAAAGCATAACATACTGGCTTGTCTCTGCCTAGTTTATAAGCTACTGTGGTCAGAAGGCCATGCTCAGAAAATACACACTTATGACCTGTATTACATAGTAAGAAACAGCTTGTGCTGTACGTGTTTTTGGCTTGTCCCTCTTGGAAGCACAGTTGTCCTACCAATGCAGCAGACTGGTCCCCCAAGCACCCAGATATTGGCAGACCTTCCAAAGACCCAGCTTGTATGCGGCCATAGATATCAGAAGAACTCCAAACATTCGGAAGAATGTCCATTGGAATGTCAAAAAAGTCACAAAGCTCTTTATCCCATTCCAAGGAATGGATGTTGAAAAGCATTGTCCTGCTTGCATTTGTTACATCTGTACAGTGGACACGTCCATTAACTCCTCCTGTCAAACCCCAGATTAGCCATGAATCAATGGTACCAAAAAGAGCTCTACCTTCTTCAACAGCCTTTTGAACTTGCCTCACATTGTCAAGAATCCAACGAAGTTTCACTGCACTGAAGTAAGTGCTAAGTGGAAGGCCTGTCTTGGACTTGACAAAGTTATTATTTCCCGGAATTTTTTTACTAAGGTTTTCGAGGGTAGGCTGGGTTCTTAGATCAAGCCACACTACAGCATTGTAGAGCGGCTCTCCAGTTAACTTGTCCCAGATTACAGTGGTTTCCCTCTGATTGCTGACACCAGTGGCTTTTATGTTGGATACGTCAATGTGCAGTTCAGCAAGTTTCTGGCACGTTCTCTCTATACGCTCATAGACAGACTGAAGAATTTCCTTAGGGTCTTGTTCCACCCATCCTTCTCTTGGGAAAGCTTCTGTTAATTCCACTTGATGGTGACTAAGCAGATCTGCTGTTTTTGAACTGAAAACCAGCAAGGGAGTGGAATTCGTCCCCTGGACCACTGCCCCCACCAACGGCCCCACAACCGTTTTCTTTGGGGCTGCCATGTAACCAGCCAGTGGCTGCTCTGAGGCTCTGCTGCGGTTACCAAGACACCGAGGTGTTGGGGGAAGGAGCACGCAACACCTCGGAACGCCTGGAGCCTATGCGCGGTGGCTGCCTGCGGCCGCCGGAAGCCAGAAGCCGGAAGCCGGAAGCCGCCGGCAACCTTTGCCCTTTAACTGGTACCGCATGGGCTCCCCCCCGCCTTAGAGCAGAGACCGTGCCCAAGCCGCTCTGCAGTTTAAGGAGTTTTAAGTTAGGAAAAGGTCGTGTGCTTGCCCAGATAGTCACCAGTGCTGTTCCTTTGATGCTGCGAATTCTTAGTCCTATTACCATTTTCTTTTTGCCTGTAAGATTTCCCTGAACATATCTTGTAATGTGGGCCTGCTGGAAAAAAAAATTCTTCTGACTTGAGAATCTCTGAAAAATATTTCATCTTATTATTATTATTATTATTATTATTATTTGCCCTAGAATTCAGATTAATTTTGTTTTTTTTTTAACTTTCAGGGCCTTGGAACTGTTGCAGCACCACCCTGTCTTGCATGGTTTCAGGTGCGAACTTTGCTGTCATCCTATTTTTGACACGTCTGTTTATCTTTTTCTGCCTTTGGTGCTTTTGTTTTTGTTTTTATCAGTAGTTTTGGTCAGTTTCTTGATAATGTTATTTGGTGTCATTCTCTTCTTATTTCCTGTGCCTGGGACACATTGGGCTACTTAGATCTGTGGGTTTATTATAGATCTCATGGAATTTGGAAAACCTTGGGCCATTATTTCTACAAATATGTTTTATTTTCTCTCACTTCTCTGCTTTAGGGACTCCAGTTACACACATTGGAGTTGTCCCACAGCTCATTATTATCTTTCTAGGATTCATTTTAGATAGTTTCTATTGCTACATCTTCAAGTTTACTAATCTTTTCTTCTCTAGTATCTAAGTAATCCACTGCATTTTTCACCTCATACATTGTAGTTTTCATCCTTAAAAGTTCATAGTTTTTAAAATATTTACTTAAGGTTAGGATGCTAAATCTAATGTCAGTGTTGGTTCTTGTTCAATTTTGACTAATTTATCTCATTATGGCTTATATTTCCTTGCTTGTTAAGTTTTCATTAGGTGCCAAACATTGTTGAGTTTAACCTGGGTAGAGTTGCTGGGTATTTCTGTGTTCCTGTAAAGGTTGAGCTTTGTTTTGGTATGCAGGTAGGTTAGTTGGAAATAATTTGATTCTTTGTGGAGCCTTGCCTCTAAGACTTTGCTGCTAGAACAAGGACAGTGCTCAGTCTGGGGCTAATTATTCTCCTTTACTGTGATGAGATCCCTCAGTATAGTCTACTCAAGACCCATGAAAAATGAGGTTTTAATGGCTGGTGGGGTTAGTTTCTGTTCCCAAATCCTGAGTATACACTGTTTATCTTTACTGGACACTGTTATCTTTAATCTTTTCATCTGCCTTTTTCCCAGACTCAAGTAGTTTACTTACCCACATGCACTTTTGAGTACCTGACTGAATTCTCAGGGGCCGCCTTCTGAAGATATCCAGAAGGCTCTTGTGTTACTCTTTTCTTTCCGGTACCATGTCGTGTTCACTCTAGATGCCTTTATCTCTCTGGATGCTTAGCTTTATCTCCTCACCATGGGGCCTTTACTCACCCAGAGGTTCCACTTGGGTTTCACCTACGGTGCTGTGGACGCCGACCTCTCTCAAGGAAAAAAGGTGAGGAAATCATAGTACTCATGCCACTTGTTTCTTTGCCCCTTAGGAATCACTACCTTCATTGCCTGATATCCACCGTCTTGTGAACTATTGTTCAATATTTTTTTATTACATGAACTATTTAAATGCACTGGGCTCCCAATAAGGTACTTTTTAAAAATTGTTTCAGGTGATTAATAAATGTGGATAAATTTACTCTATTACTCCATCTTGGCCAGAGTAGACATCCACTGGATAGAAGCTTAAATTTTCAGATTGATTTTTAGAAACTTGGTGAATAAATATTCATTTGCTCACCAATTTAAATTTATTAAATATCCACTCAATAAACCTCGGTTTTCTGTATTAGACTCTGCTTTTGAGGTATCTCAAGGGTGAAACTCTTTTATCCCTAATGAAATCAACAGAACAAGATAGAAGATAACATAAAAATCAACAATATTGTTATTTTACTATTTTAATTGGATCATGTTTTCCATTAAATCCTCCAGGAAGTTTTTGAAGTCAGAAAAACAAAATTAGTTATCAGATTTAATTTGAATAATGGGGGATTGAAATCATCAGAAGATGGTACAGATTTTCCTCATCATATCTTTGTTCAGATTTTAAAATTCTACCAGAGATTTTCTTTTCTTTTCTTTTCTTTTTTTTAAAGATTTAATTTACTTATTCATGAGAGACACAGAGAGAGACAGACAGAGACAGAGACAGAGACACAGGTAGAGAGAGAAGCAGGCTCCATGCAGGGAGCCTGATGTGGGACTTGATCCCAGGACTCCAAGATCATGCCCTGGGCTGAAGGCAGGCGCTAAACTGATGAGCTACCCAGGGATCCCCTACCAGAGATTTCCTAAGCAGAAATTTAAAGACAACACTTACCAGTATGCCAGTTTATCATACTATGCTTGAATTTGCTTGAAACATATTGTTTTTTATTTTTTAAATGTTTTTTTTCTTCCCAAGTATTTGACAGTGCTAAACATTATATGTATAGCTTGATCTACACAATAAAAAGATTTGACCCAAGGTTTTTTCTCTACATCCCCTGTCCTCTGTCACACCAATATACACAGATAAATTTCCTGATCCCATTAGTTTTTAAGGCTAGGAATATTTTAAGCATTTGTTTGTTTTTTGATGCAAAAAGCTGTTTTTATTAAAGCCTGGGGACAGGACCCATGGGCAGGAAGAGCTACTTTGAGCATTTTGTCTTGAATACAAGTAACTTATTTACAAAGGCATCAGTTTCAGTTTATAAATAACTGGTTTACATATTAGTTTCACTTTACTGACTACTAAATTGTAGCCACTAAATAACCAGGTAAGTGTCTCAGTTTAGTTTAGAACGAAAAGTTGACCAGATTGATTTAATTTTCTTAGAGTAATTGCAAACTATTGATGGATTTAACCAAAGCTGACTAGCAATGCTTTATTTTTTTTTAACTAAGAAGCTTAAACTAACTCCACTATTTTTTCATTTCAAAAAAAAATTAAGACGTAAAAACTTTTGATTGTTAGTCTGTAATATTTCCACATGTTCTAAAATAAACATCTCTGAAAAACCCATCGACACCATCTTATTTGTGAAGACATTCAATTTTACAAGGTAATTGTTACTTCATTTTGTTATAGTCCATACAAATGCATATGCTTTAATGGTGGACATACCTTTCAGAATAGTCCCCCCCCCAAAAAAAACACATATTTTTTAAAAAGTTTTTAAATGCAGGATTGTTAAAATTAGAGTTTTCAAACTAGTTGACTTCCTGTTATTATTTATTTACCTTTCAGGCTACTCTTTTAGAGTGCAATTACTTCCTGATATAAAATCTTCTAAATGATATCCATAGCATCAAGTTTAACATTTATTTGTTCATTCAATAATTTGATAAATGTTTTGAGAGGTTTCTATATGTGGGCTCTATTTTAGGCAATAATGTAGTGGTGCATAAAACGTTCTTCCTGCCCTTATTACAACCTCTGAGTTAAGAACAGTCTGAACTAAATTTACTCATCTATATTGACAACTTCCTTTGTACATCATGTTTAGAGAGCCACTCATTTAATTATTGTTTTCCCCTGTCAAGCCCACTAAATTATAACTTCAATAAGGGCAAATATCTTGTTTTATTCAATTTTGTATTTTCAGTACTTAGAACAGTGCTTCAAGCAGAAACTCAAAAAATATTTGTTGAATGAGATAATGAATACCACTATATGTGTTCCTCACTTTATTACCATAAAGTCAAGATAATTTTGATTTTGATTTCTGGATGGGCTATTGGTTATTCATTTTACAATCTAATATAATAAGGAAATTGAGGAATAAAGAGATGGATAAATGAAAGAATATATGATGAAGTTAATACAGTAAAATATAATTATAGAATCTATGTGGTAGATTTGATGGTGTCAGTGGTAGAGTTCTTTCAATTTTTCTGTATGTTTGCAAATTTTTATAAGAAAATATTGGGAAACGTATGCCAATAAAAACCTGGTCAAGCAGCAAAAAACCAGTTAATAGAGATCTATTTCATACAGGTTCTTTTGTTTGTTTGGAGGGACAGTTAAAAGGAATAAAAGTTGCTGCCAAGTGTATGTTAATTTAAAGATTCTGTAGTAGAAAAATCTAGTTAAAGTTGTTCATCTCAAGACAACCATTAATTGTGAATCACTTTATTGAGATATTTGCAGTTTTATTATAGGAATTTTCTTTTGTGCTGTATAAACTTTGTAAATCCTAGGAAGCCAGCTGCATGTTTAACTTCAACTTTTAACAAGAAATATCAGGCATTCAAGAATACTGCTACTCTTTTCAACCTATAAAGAGTGGGAATCAGTTTTGAAAGATTCAGTATCACCAAATTTGGACTTATCTTGGTCTTGAATTTGAGAGTTTGTACCCTGATAGAATTATATAGTTTCTGGCTAGGAAATTTAACTTTTTTTTAGATCGTGTCATAACCAATGCATCATCACAGTTGGTAATCTTCAAAACACTGACGCATTTTTCTACATGCTGTTCCCAAATGTGCTGGACCAGCTGTTGAGAGCCATGCCATCCAATTGCCTGGAAGACCTCTTCTTGGACCACAAATCACCTAACGTAGGATCCCTCTTTGTTCTAATAAAGAATGGAAAAATTAAAGCAAGCTACCGTGGTTTATTACTCATGTTTTCTCTGTTAAGCACGGGCTGTTGGAATCATGGCATCCACATCAGGAGGCTTTTGCATTCTAGGTAAGCACTCAGAACAGACAAGTGATTGAGTTTAATATTCACGCCTATGAAAGTGATTTTATGAATGTTTGATTCTTGAAATTTTTGAGTGTGTGTGTGTGTGTGTGTGTTCTTTGTCATTTTCCCAGTGAAAATTGCCCTGACACTGTTCTCAATGTTAATGTATTCCTGCTTACATTTGACTTTGGAATATGTTATGGCTAATTATCATTACACAGGATGAAAGATCAGAGCCCTGAGTGAGGTGCTTGGGTTT